TGTACAAGTACCGCACAATCTACCCATTTGGAGAACTGCCTCCAAAATAATTTCTGATTTTAAAAATCCATCTTAATATGTTAATGTTTTACTCTGCCCTCCCCATTTTTGTATAGATATTATTTATTTGTTTTATTTTTCGGATTGCACAGTCTTGATGCTTTGATGGTTGTACAGCTTTTATACTTTTATACGTACTTTTTGTTCCAAATTTTTGCATTTCCTGTTATGACTGTATAGCACCTTGTGAATCTATTTCTATGAAAGGTGCTATATAAATAAAACTTTACTCATGAGTAAAATGGAAGAAGGAAAATGGAACTTACTTACTACACACACACACACACACACACACACACACACACACACACACACACACACACACACACACGCACACACATACAGTATACATATATATGAAGGCTACCTAATTTTGTCATTTCTAGCCACAGTCTGCTAAATGTAGTGTAGCCTAATTTTTAGGAAAAAATCACTAGCTTAAATGAAATTGTAATAATAATCACTCCTAGCCCAGCTAAAGCAATTTGATCATCATCCATCATGTTTATCAGTAGCTTGAAATATCTATTAAAACTCCAGTAGTGGGCTAGTAGGTCTACTGTAATGTTAACCAGTTGTACAATCTAGAGACAAACTGAAGTATAGCTGCAGATTAAACCAACAGTCAGTCACATGAAAAGCTCAATATTCCTCCATAAAAAAACATGGTTTCCTTCTTAGATAACAATCTCTCCAAGTTTTACTCTTCCTCTCCTTATATTTCTAAACTACAAGTTCCAAGCTGAGCACAGCGAGTTCTGAAACTAACACTTTCCTTGATAACTTCTTTTCTAATCTAACCTTCCGGAGGACAGATCATAGATTCTCTAAGCTTTAGAAACTAACAGTTTCCGCCCGTCCAYGAGAAAGAACAGAAAGGTGACGGACCGCCGTCGGTCACTGTGACAGCTAGATTCTCTCCGGGGAATCAAAAGCTGAAAACTGTCAGGTTTGGCCCCTTCACGCCAATGGGGAAACCTCACAGTGTGGAAAACCAACGCCTGGTTTATCCACTTCAGAAACTCTCCAGACGGAAGTTTTATTCTGAAACCTGGGTTCCAATCGAGGCTTTGTCTTCTTCTAAGGCTGATGTGGACGTAAACGAGTCAACAAAACAAGCCTTGGGGTCCCCTGTTCGACGGTCTAAAGACAGATTCTCCAGCAGCACCCCCAYCTACCTKGCAGGTGACAGAACATCATCTCAAGGTAAAAGCTGGCTGTGTGTGTGACGTCGAGGTGTGACCGAAGCTGAGCATAGAACGCTTCGCGCTTCTGGTTAAAACCCACATTATTTAAGATAAAAGTATAAGAAAGCTAATATCTTTCTTCCACCCTTTTTTCTTAAACTCTTCCTTGCCAACTCTAAGATAATTGCCTCAAATGGTCTGGTATCAAACATCAAAGCTAGACGTTTGTGTTTCTATTTAAGTGTGGTTAAAAATTAAGAAGTTAAAAGCTTATTATTGTTGGTCCCAAACTTTTATAGGAAATTAATTGTTCACAATCAAGTGTACTCTAGTGATTTTGTATGATTTGTAAAATAAATATTATGGTTATTATGCATATTATGGTTCAAATCAACATTCACTGACTGAGAGTTATTTTTTGTGACCATTCATTCTTGCACTAAAGGAATGTTTACCCAAAATAAAAAGAGATCACTTGCTAATAAAATTACTATTATAACCTTGTTGTAAGAAGTGTAAGCTAAACCCTTACAAATGTCACCTCTCTGGTGGGGAAGGAGCCTGAGCTGGTGTGTGAGTTTGAGAGGTTCAGACTAGATATAGTCAGACTCACCTCGAYGCACCACTCTGGCTCTGGAAATAGTCTCCTCGAGAGGCCTTGGACACTCTTTCACTCTGTAGTTGCCCATGCTGAAAGGCGCCGAGCAGGAGTGGGCATACTTATTGACCCCCATCTTGGTGCCTGTATGTTGGGGCTCACCCCGGTGAACGAGAGATAGCCTCGCTCTGCCTACAGGTGGGGGAACGGGTCCTGACTGTTGTTTGTGCCTATATGCCTAACAGCAGTTCAGATTACCCATCCTTTCTGGAGTCTTTGGAGAGGGTGCTGGCTGGMGAGTGCCCCWMAYKGRSACTCCCTTGGTCTGCTGGGGAACTTCAACACTGACACTCCCTTGGTCTGCTGGGGAACTTCAACACTGACGTGGGTAATGACAGAGAAACCTGGAGGGGCATGGTTGGGAGACCTATGCACCGCAGCGCAGCGCAGTGGAGCAGAGACACGTGTAGTGTAAATCTAGGGTCTGGGGGGTAGTGGTTTGCCACCCAACATTGTTTATGGTGGGGATGGCGCGCTGCTGACCTCAACTCGGGACATTGTGGGTCAGTGGGCAGAATACTTCGAAGACCTCCTCAACCTCATCGACACATCTTCCCATGAGGAAGCAGAGCCTGAGGACCTTGGGTCGGACTCTCCTATCTCTGGTGCCGAGGTCACTGAGGTTGTTAAAAAGTTTCTTGTGGCAAGGCAACAGGGGTGGATGAGATTCRCCCAGAGTTCCTTAAGTCTCTGGATGTTGTGGGGTTGCGTTCGTTGATGCGACTCTTATCACATTTCTGAACCTCCCTGGTAAAGTCTATTCGGTGGTCCTGGAGAGAAGGGTCTGTCGGAATAGTCGAATCTCAGATTCAGGAAGAGCAGTGTGGTTTTTGTCCTGGTAGTGGAACAGCGGACCAGCTCTACACCCTTAACTGGGTCCTGGAGGGTGCATGGGAGTTCGCCCAACCAGTCTACATGTGTTATGTGGACTTGGAGGTGTTCGACCGTGTCCCTCAAAAGACAAGTTTTCCCTACATCATGGGAACCATTTTCCTAAAAAGCAGCCTTGTGGGGATCGAACGTGCATCGTGGAGACAAATGCCCAGTCCCCATGTGTATGAAAGCAAATTGCGGATGGTGGGTTAGGTTTAGGACAATGGTGTGAATAGAGTTTATGTTAGTTTTAGGGTCAGGTAGGTACCTGTGAGGTTAATATTTGGGTAAATGGTCAGGGTTAGGTTATAAAATTTCCAAAAAATGAATGGAAGTCAATCCATGGCCCCCACGGGGATATTAAAACCAGACGTGTGTTTGTATCAGATTACTAATAAAATTAACAGTGTGCAAAACAACTTGAACACAGAGGATGAAACAGTGAAAGACAGAAAGAAAAAGAACATAAGCAGGAGGCACTTACCCTTTAATCCAGCTACATGTTAGCATAATAATCAGGGTTTACAAGAGAAAACCAAGTAAAAAGGAACAAACAGAAAACATAAAGACACACAGCAAAGCCACTAGCACTTTACCACAATGGCACTTCAAAAACAGAAGCAGCATGAGGTGAAATAATAAAAGTATAACTTGCAGTTATTAGTTAGAGTATTTACAGTGCATGATGAGATCAAACTTAGTACTTTGTTGGCTAACATTAAAAAATATATATTCAGGAAATTACAGGCTGAGACAAAGTGTGACAAAGAACAATTAATTAAAAAGCAGAAAATAAATTATATCTCCTGATTACATTTAAACTTGTTGTCCAGTTATGTTTGTTTTAATATCACAGAAATCCTTAGAGTATTTTTTAATCTACAAAAATAAGTTAGCAGGTAAACAGATGATTAGCTTAAGTYGAGTGTGTTAACTGAAGAATGAGTATGAGAACCACAACTTACAGAACTGAGATATAGGTGCATCAAGTTGTGGTGCTGTGCTCCCTCTGGCATTGAGCTTTTGGACCTGGGTGGGTGGTACTGGTTTGTGTGATTGACCCGTGGCCCTGTACATTGCCTGAACCCACAAGATACGGTCCTGCTCGTCATCGCTGGCAAAGATCACAGTGTCGCCCTCTTTTACAGCATTGAAGAATGTCCTACCACCATCTAGACCTGAAAAGAAGTAATAAAACAAGTGTCATGCTAACTTATAGTCCTTTCTACACCCTTTGAAGGAATACATACCACCTGCTGTTATTCATATTTAAGTTGTGAACTAAAATATTTTTGCAGTCAAAAATTAAGTAGCCATAACAGTTTTGTCCGAATCTTGATTTAGACATCATGCACAGTCTCATGCAAAATTAAGGGCTCTGGAAAGATGTGTGAGCATCTGTTAGATATGATACTCAGAAACTACCACTCTTAAGCCTGGAACGTAAGCCTACTTYACACTCCCACCGAACTGCCGAAGTTGTCACGGATTGTCGCAGTTTCATGATGAAAATTGGGTCACCAGTGTTCTCAGTGTTGATTGGGCTGCCACTTTTGGCACAACCCACCGGCAGAACTGTTTACTCCCCTCCTGCTACGACAGTAATGTGTGATTGTTCTAAAGTTCATGGGCGTGTTTGTTTGTRCTGAAAGCGCTCGGACACTGCATTTTGCTTCAACCACTTGGTTTAAAAAAATGACTCGCTTCCAGAGCCGACTGTTACCAGGAAGCAGACATTTATAAAGATAGTCAAACATAGTCAACCACGTGACCAGGCATTGACTGTTCGCTTCAGAACGAGTATGTTCCAGGTTATACTTGTTTCGATTCCAGTCTACCCTCCCAGTCTAATTCAAAACCACTCTCAGCTACACGAATATGGGCATATATTGTTGGTTTTCAGCTTTGCTGCTTACTTGCATAGATTTGTCCAGATTTTCTGAATCTTTTGATGATAYTATGGACTGCAGATGATGAAATTCCTAAATTCCTTGCAATTGTTTATTGAGAAACATTGGGCCTCATGCAAGAACCGTTCGTACGCACAGATTTGTTCTTAAGTTGTGCGTACGAGTGATTTAGGAG